TTTGATAATGAAATGATCACACCTTTGCCTGCCACATTGGGCCTGGCATCTTCTTGGCGTGACCCTGTTAGCCTTTGATAGCACCTTGTTTTCAGGTACCCAGTTTCTCCGGCTGAGGCCCGACTCGGCCACCTCTGAAGCTGTGATTCCTTCGTGTGACAGGTGGTGTTTGAAGAGCACCATCTGATGCTTGGGGCTGTTTGTTTCCACTGGAGTGTCTTTGTTTGGGCACCTCTCAGTGTGGGAAAGACACCATCCTGCTCTGTCACCCATTCTGTGGGAATAAAGGACACACTTGTTAGAATTTGTTGTGGTGCTATGAAAAGTGTAAAGTTGTATTGAAGTCTACACTTAGTCATCATTCTGAATGTTGTTTCTTTCGCCAGTCAGTAGAGTAGTGTGATTATAAATACTGATTTATATGACTTTAGCTAGAAACCCATCTTATTTAATATGGGTGTCTATATTCTGAAGTGATAGGCCAATATGGTTGACTGTAAAACCTTTGGTTCTCTTTAGGCTTCGGGACTTCCCATCGAGAGCTGTAGATACCATGCTTCTTGAGATAGGAGATTGTTTCTCAATAAGAAGTAGAGTTGTTGTGCCTAAGAACGTCTCTAAATTGTTTGTTAAATGCATAATATCCACTGGATTAGACTGTTGACTTGAAACTGGTTTTGAAATATTGAGGGACAGTAGAAATAAATTTAAATTGTCTTTTGCTTAGGAACTTAGTGCTCCAAATTTTCCCTCATTACAAATAGTTGACCTTTGAAGGTTTTGTTTTTCAGATAATACTTCAATTTTGCAAAAATCAGTTGAAACTATATTGTAGCTATTGCCATTAGATGAAAGCCTGATGTGTTAGCCTCTTGATTATTTTTATGGAGATTATCTCTTCTCTCCTAATTGCTTTTAGAAAAAATGATGACACTCAGTTTTTATTTAACTATTAATCTTGTTTGAAGGAAATGATAGTGATTTTCAGGTGAGGTATTTGCCAACTCTAGAGAAAATGAATGCAAATCATCATGTGGTTTTCCAGTCATTCCTTTTCTCACCAGTGAGATCCCCTGCTTCCCAAACTACTCACCTCTATGAGATTGTCTCCAGAAAGTCACCCTTCCTTTTAGAGACTAGTGTTCTTAAGTTTGTGTATAGGGATGAGCTGACATAAGGGCCAGTCTTCAAACTGGGGAAAGCATATTTATTTGCAGTAGTGCAGGAGCCAGAGCCTTGAGAGATGCTAGAGTTGTTGGGCGGCTCCCTCCTGTTTATCCACTTTCATCATTATCATGATGCATTTGAATGCCCCTTCCATATTCTGTTTCCCTCTTGATGCTTAATATGATGATCCAAGTTAAGGACCTGTCACTGTGAGCTAGTGCTACCTCAGTACGAAAACTTTGGTTCTTGACATTTTACTTTTGACTTTCAAGTATATCTGTGGGAAATAAACTAGCTGTTCAGTGATTACTATAATAGTATTTGAAGTGAAAGAGGCAAATTCTTGCCAAAATAAAAATTATTTTTATTCTGCTTTGCTTTCATCTTACAGGAGTACAAATCCTAGCTCTTCATAAAGAGGTGTCATCTCTGTATCCAAAGGCAGTCTTGTCTTCGGCTTTACTGATCTGTTTTAACTTGTGAGAGGAAAACAAGCTTGCTGAAGTCTTCCCTATGTTTTTGGCACTTCCTAATGGGGTGATATATGTATGGCAGCTTAAGGCACCATTGTCCAGTCTTTTAAGTCTCAGTGGAAACCGATTAGCCTCTACTGTGTTAAAACAACAATTGTGTTGTCTTATTTGTGCACAAACATTCAGTTGCTTTTACATGATGGCGCACAGCACAGAGTGTTCTGATTTCCCGGTTTCCAAGACTGAAATTGCTTTTCCTTACTTAGTTTGCTGTTATGCAAACAATGGAAATGTTCTTTCTGCAGTTATGTTGTTTCTCAGAACTCTTGGCATCTTTTATTCCTTGATCATTCTGGGTTCTAAGTATCCTGTCATACTTCAGTAATAATGTGCTGTCCTATTTTTAGGGCAGCAGATTTGCTAACAAGTCACTTTTATTCGAATGAGCTGTGTCATCACCATGGAAATAGTACTTGTCTAGAAATTCCAGTTAATGAATCTTAGCTGTTTAAAGATGTTTCCTTTTCATATCTTTCATATCTTTTGTTTCTTACATAATTCTTAAAAGCTAAATTCCTTGAATATAGCTCTTGATAGCTGCTTACTTATTGTCTAAAGTGTTTTCCGTGGATGTGCTGTTTTTACTTTATTCTGTATGGATGGCTTTTGTACAAAATGAGAGTTAGATAGTAGGAATGTAAGCTGAGAGGAATTTGAAAATCACTAGCACTCTTGAACTGTGGTGATGTGAGGAGTCTTTAGAAAAGTTGATGTTAGACGTTGTAACAGTTGACTCTTCTAGTTGTCCCAACCTTTTATTGTAATTCTCTCTAGTCTCTGTCTGTCGTACTCCTAAAGCAAAGGAATCTGATTCTGAGTAGCTATGCTTTGATGGGTAATTCTGTGATAGAATTGGCTCACCCTTACAAACAGTTCCCCTAAAATCAGGCTTCATAGAGTATAATCTTGCTTCTACCACATTCTGTAGATCCTTGGGCAGTACGCTTCAGATTTTTCATCTTTGAAATGGGAGCTTTTATTACTTCTTTTAAGGGTTGTTGTAAAGATTAGGTAACTAATATAAAGACCCAGGAATAGTGCCTTGCACTGTTGTGTGTTGGTTATCTCTTTAATGGGCTTCATGTATAAATGTGATTGCCTCACGCTGCCTCATTGATCCTATAATTTATTTGTGAGAAAAGAGTCATGGTTCTCTAGCCTGGCAATCAGACATCTCAGAGTTTCACACCGTATATCAGAAGAGAAGTGGCTAGTCAGTAAGCTATGATAAAAGATTAATTTGAAAATGTTAGAAAGTATGCTCCTAAAGATCCAGAGTCAAGAGTCAGATGACCTTGTTTTATCTGAAAGAGATTAAATTGTACTCAGTATACTTAACTTGCCAACACCTAGAATAATCATCAGCTTAACATGTACATCTCAGAAGTTACACTTGGTCATTTTACCATGGAGTTTCTTATGTGTTCGTCATTCTTTCTAGCACCTGCCAATAGCCACGTTTTACTTCTTAGCTCACTATTTGTAAGCAGTTAGTCCTTAATATGTGAAAAAAGCCACAGGTCTAATGTAAAAAGGGGAAGAAAGGATAGAAGTGATACTTATTTTTTATTTTTGCCTATTGTATGTTTGGGTTTTGAGAAAAGATGAAAAGGAAAACAAAATGAAACCTCACTTGAGTAAAATTAGCTGTAATCATAGTATGTAGCAGCTGCTAGTCTGACTTGATCATAGAATTTACATGAGAAGGATGCTGTTATTACTGTAGCTTCTGTTTTAATTTTTTGCAAAATATAATCCACAAGGCAAGAAATACATCAGAATGTTAGGACTCTCTAAGTGTTTGCAGGTAACCTGAAACAACCATACATAAAGAGCCTGACCAGCTAAGTGGGTGTGGCCAGATATTTGACCTCTATGTGGCTATAAGGGTGAGGTAGATGAGAGCGAGTTCCAAGACATTGTAAATGACAGAAGGTATAAAATATGTCTGTAACAGAACCCCGTTCTTTAAATATTTTATTTATTATTTTTATGTGTACAAGTGTATTGCCTTCATGTATGTAAGTGCACCCGTACTAAGCAGTGCCCATGGAGGTCAGAAGATACCCAGAACTGAAGTTATGGATGGTTGTTAGCTACCATATGTATGTTGGGAACCAAACCCAGGTCTTCTGCAAGAGCAGCCAGTGCTTTTAACCACTGAGCCAGCTCTCTTAACTCCTAGAATCCCATTTTTTTAATCTTTTTTTTTTAATTTTAATAACTACATGATTAGAAGAAACATTTCACTACAGGTTTAACATATTCAGTAACACACTCCAGAGCAAGAGTACATCTCTTTCACAAGTGGGTGCAAGTTTCTAGGTTCACAGTTGAGTTAGTACAGTTATACAATATTGAACTCAGTATAAGCCCTATAAGACATACAATTGAATGAGTTTTTAACCTTTAAAAAAGATCTCCATTTCATTTTAGAATATATTGTTCCTTGCAGAAAGACTCATTGTTTTTGCTACTAACACTGAGATGTTGGCACATGCATCTCTAATGTGTATGTATCTGATTATTACTAATCATAATCGGTTGCACTTTGGATCCTTGGTGCCAGTATATGTCTATAAAGTCATCGGGTAGATTTCAATGGTAATGTTTATCACCTCTACTAATTAGCATGACGTAAATTTCCATGTTTCCTCCTCAAATATACATTTTTTTTAAATGTGATGATTTGTGTGTGTGTGTATCACACAGAACATCCCAAACCATCTTGTTGGACGTATTATACACCCACTTCCCAGATGGCACCCTCCCATAGCCTCCCTCCCCTCACTAGAGCCCTTATACTCTGATATCCCTGCTACTGTCGTGTTGCGAATCCCATTTTTAAAGGAAAAATTATGACTACTGTAAAGAAACATGTACTTTTCTAAAAAAAACTTTAATATGAATTTTCTGCTTATATATTTGAGATTTTAATCACACCTGTTACTTGCTCATAAACAATGAGAAGTACATTTGCATATAGCAAAAGTTTGGAAGGCTCTCTTTTAAACTTTAGATTTGTGTTTTGTTTTAGAAAGGGTAGCAACAGCCAGGCGTGGTGGCGCTCGCCTTTAGTCCCAGCACTCGGGACGCAGAGGCAGGTGGATCTTTGTGAGTTCAAGGCCAGCCTGGTCTACATAGTGTGTTCCAGGCCAGCTGGGCCTACAGAGAGACCCTGTCTCAAAAAAACAAGAAAGGGCAGCAATAGTGTATGTTGATTATTTTCCCTACCATAGGAAATATTATGGCTCTTAAACTCAGAAGTCAGTTATCTAAAGCAAATTTACTATTTCCTAGGATTTCCACTTAAACAGAGTAAATCTGGAAGAATCTGCCGGAGTAGAGAATTCTCCAGCTGGTGCTAGACCAAAGAGGAAAAACAAGAAGTCCTACGATTTAACTCCAGTTGATAAGTTTTGGCAGAAACATAAAGGAAGGTAAATAAGAGAAATACCAGTAATGAAAGCATTTTTCCCTTAAATAGAAGTGAAGTGTCATCTGACCTAGTAAATTTAAGGGAAACATCACAAGAGGTCATGTCGATGAGTGGTAGCTCTAATTAAATCACAGATGGTATCTGTGTGGCTTGATTTCTTCCTGATTCCTATGGTTTGTTAATTGTTTTGTAAGGGGCCCCTTCTCTGCAAAAGTTCGTCCTGTATGGCTGCAGATTACAGTGTTTCTAAACTTTACTGCTGCCTCCATTGACCCTGTCTGTAGAGACCAGCCCTGTTTTTTACTTTTGGTTTGTGACAGAAAACCTTTAGGATAGGGCTCTTCCTTTCTGCTCCACGTTTGCCTTCAAACAAAGCCCATACGATATATATGAGGGGACCTAAGTGAAGTCCAGGGAGTTATTCAAAGTGCCTAAGAAGTAATGGTCGAAAATTATTGTGATTGGACATGTGATTTGTTACACCAATGTTCATAGCCCATATACTGTGCTATCCTTTAAAAGATAGGGCCCTTTAAACTTGGCAGTCAGTAACTGCAGTAAAAATTATCTAGTGGTCATAGCCAGAGAGAAACGATTGTTAAAAGAGAAAAACGTTTCTCTAAGAAATAACATAGTGCTTTGCATTGGTAATTTTGAAGGTGTTGTAGTATTTCAAATATATATAAAGATACAGATTTATCTGTGTCCTTGATATAACTGTTCTTTGGGGCCTCATATTTATTTTTAAAGAGAAATAGGATATAGCCTTAGTTGAACATGTCCAAGGTTTTTGTGTGTTAACACTTAGAACATTAAAAAGGAAAAACCACTGCTTTAGCAAAAACTTTTTCTTGTCAGAGAGCAGTTACTGTTTTTCTCTTTCTGACTTTATACATAGTGGTTTTGGCACCAGTATAATTTATTTTAAATAATATTCTTTACTTTGGAATTTCCTATGTTTTTTCTGCAATGGTGAAATAATACGAAATTACATTTCATTAAGATGCATTATTAAGATAGGGTATAGGTGTTGAAATTAAGAGTGCAGAATTGCAAGATTATTTTCACAGTTACTTGGATATATTTTTTAAATGCTGTCATTATTGTTAAATGAGCCCTCTGACACCTACTGATCTTGATAGGTTTTTAATGTTTAGTATACTATGACTTCTAAGTCCCTTTGATTTTTTTTTCAGTCATATAAATATTTTCTTTTTTGTTCGTACAGTGTATAGTTGAAGAAAAAAATGTGATCTCATTAATGAAAAGACTGGAAGTAAAATTTAAATTTGTTCAGGTTTATAATTATTATGACTTTTTGTTGCTATTATTTTTTGAGACAAGGTCTCCCTGTAGCCCCAACTAGCCTGGAACTCAATATGTAGACCAGGCTAGCCTTGATCTCACAGCGCTCTATCTGCCTCTGCCTCCTGAGTGCTGGGACTAAGGGGTGGGCCACCATTTTAATACTGTATTTATTTATGTTGGATATTTTCTGGCCATGTTATGTATGTAAAATAAATTCAAAACTAGTTAAGAGTGTTTAAAATAATAGTAAATCTTGTATATATTTCAGAAATCACGAGAAAACAATCTTTTGATATCACACTCATGATGACTCTGTACAATGTTGTTTTAGTCCATTCCCGGAAGTTGCAGAATCAGTTCAGCAAGAGCTGGAATCTTACAGGGCACAAGAAGGCGAGGTGAAGCGACTGAAGAGCGTCATGGTGAGGTCCTGCCTGCTCTGCTCTCAAGAACCACAGGGTGGGAAGGACATCTGCACAGACTTTGTTTTTAAATAGTGCTCCTTACCCTCCATAAAAGTTCAGGGCCAGGCTGGGCGTGGTGGCACATGTCTTTAAGCCCAGTACTCGGGAGACAGAGGCAGGTGGATTTCTGTGCGCTCAAGGCCAGCCTGGTCTACATAGCGAGTTCCAGGACAGCTGGGGCTACAGGGAGACCCTGTCTCAAAAAGACTAAAAAAAAAGTTCAAGGCCATTTTTTACTCAAGTTTTTTGTTTTGGAGACAAGAGTCTCACTGTAGCCCAGGCTGGCCTTCGAATCATGGCAGTCCTGCCTCAGCCTTCTGAACGCTGGGATTAGAAGCACGTGCCACCAAACCCCTTTGAAAAGGAATACCTAATATTAAGAAGAAAATACATTTTTTCAGGAGCAAGTTGTGACTCTACCTTTAGAGATGCAGGCTCAGCTCCTCTGTACTTCCCTCTGACCTCAGGTCTCAGTGGCACTGTTTGTCACTGTCACCTGCGGAGGCGTCTGGACTTTCTCGTTTGAGGATGCCAGCCAATCCTTTACTTACTACTTTACCGTTAGAGGTAGTGACTAGAACTTTCCTGGAACTGTCAGAAAGTGTCTGTGCTTCCCTCTCGAAGAATGGTCATGCTAGGCAGCCCACCTTGTTCTTTATCAGTAATCTTTGGATGTGTTGACTTCTATGCTTGTGCCTAGAAATTTTGAAGTTCTGAGAGCCTTTTCTCCTCCCCAGGGACTAGAAGGGGAGGATGAAGGGGCCATCAGTATGCTCTCTGACAACACTGCTAAGCTGACGTCAGCTGTTAGGTAGGTACGCAGCACCTCTTTCTAATGACCAGGTTTATTTTGGAAGTTAAAAATTATTCATATTTTTAATAATAGGAAATGGTAGGTTATAGAGAATTGAAGAACTGAATTGTGCTTTTAACATGCTCAAGCTGATTTCTATTCCTCATAGATACAGCAGAACAGTTGTTTCTTTGAATAGTTACAAATTTCTAGTGTAATTTTACTAGGAAAATATTAATGATAAAGTAGGGCCTGTCATTAATTCATTATTGTTTCTGTTATTTTCTTAAGTGAAGCAGTTTGTCAGTGTTGTGTTTTAGAATTGTATCTAAAACACATTTGCATTCATCTAATTTTATTCTAAACCCTTAAACTTTAGAAGCAGATTGCAAAACAATAGGTACGATATAGAAGCCAGATTATTTTAAATAAGAAACAGTTCGCCAGCATTAAGGTGATGCAAACTCCATGTGTTCAAGCCCGGAGATCTAGTTCAGTTGACAGACGGTCTAACTTGTCCTTTGTCACCAGTTCAGTGTTCTGAGTTTTCTTAGGAAATACCAGGCAGGGGTTTTATTAAGTGTGAGTTATTTTCTTAGAAGATTTTGTGGTTAATTTTCAGTTTTTTGTGACTTGTAGCTCATTGCCAGAACTTCTTGAAAAAAAAAGACTTATTGATCTCCACACCAATGTCGCCACTGCTGTCTTAGAGCACATAAAGGTAATTATAACTTTCCCTTCAGCATGTGACTTACATTATATAGGGTTTCATACTTCGTAAGTCTCTTCAAGTCTTCAAGCCCTCCCTGTGACATTATGAGGTACAATTATTGGGAGCAGCTGCACAGCGTTCATTTCTGCGCGTGAGGAAACTTCAGAATCCAGGAATACCACTACTCAATAGAGTCAGTGTGTGTAGTACTTAGCATGTTGCAGCAGCTCAATACTGTGTCTATGTGTTTTACTCTGTTAATGAACGGTCTTGCATCTAACTGTCAACAGTGCTGATTCTGAAATCCTTTCTGATGATTTCGTTTGTTGATTTAATTTTTGAGATGGTTTCGTAAGATAATCCAGGCTAACTCCAGGTCTAACCCCACGTCATGATCCTCCTGCCTAGTCTTATCCCACCCTTTCTGTTGCCATCGTCATCACAGTCTTGACTCCTCTTGCCCTTCTCTTTGACTAAATGCCAGTGCCTCTGTGTCTGTGTGTCATGTGGGAGCTACAGTGTCATCTGCAGCATAATTGTAGATTCTCTAGTATTCACATTAAAAAGGCAAAGAGGAATAAGTAAGTTATTTTTTTAAGAGTCATTTATTTTTATTGTACATGTATGAGCATTTTTGCCTGCACTTACACATGAGCACCACGTGTGCAGTGCCTACGAGCTGCAAGAAGAGTGCGTGGGACACCCTGGAAGTGCAGGTGCAGATGCTTGGGAATTGCTGTGTAGTGCTGGGAGCAGAACCCCAGTCCTCGGCAGGAGCAGCCAGTGCTCTTAACCACCAAGCATCTCTCCAGCCCCAATTAAAAAAATTTTTTTTATGTGTATGAGTGTATTGCCTGCATGTAGGTAAGTGTGCCCATGTTGTACAATGCCCGCGGAGGACAGAAAGGCTATCAGATCCCCTGGAACTGGAGTAATGGACAGTCATAAGCTGCCATTTGGGTGCTGAGATTCGAATCTGGGTCTTCTGCAAGAACAGCCAGTGTTCTTAACCACTGAGCCGCCTCTCCAGCCCAGTAAAATTTATTTTAATAGTATATTGTAGCCAGGCATGGTGGCGCATGCCTGTAGTCCCCAGCACTTGGGAGGCAGAGGCAGGCGGATCTCTTTGGGTTCCAGGCCAGCCTGGTCTACATAGTGAGTTCCAGGCCAGCTGGGACTACAGGGAGACCCTGTCTCAAAAAGACCAAAAAAAAAAAATAGTATATTGTATATAATCAAACATGTCCACAATATTAGCATTTTAACATACAGACAATTTAAAATATGAAATATTTCATATTCTCTTTTTATATATGAGGTCTGGTAAGTTCATTAAGTATTTTTACAATCATACCACATGTCTGTTCATATCAGCCTTGAACTATTGCTCTTCCTGTCTTCCCCTCCCAAATGTGGGGATGATGCACCACCATACCCAGCTTAGAAATCCTTTTCAGTATATCACTGTCTAGAATATGTACTAATTGCATCACTTCATTTATATGACTCGGTTCTGAACTTTATGGTTTTAGATGATTGATTAGCATTAAAGCCCCTACTGTCTCTCGTTAGAACTGACTTTGAAGCAAATAGCCTCACCATTATTGTCCTAGTTCTTCCTTCACTTTCGCAGTCACTACAGCGAGCTTGCTCAGTGAGTCCTTCAGTAGTCACTGTTACTAGTTCTCAGGACGTGTGGCTAAAATCTGATGGCAAGCTGCCCATACTCAAAGACCTGATGAGTGTTATTTCCTACTTTTTGCGAGGATAGTTGCTTCTTGTCAGAAGTGCGCAAGTATCTTGTTTTATTTTTTAAGAGAAGGGACTTAAACATTTTATTTTTTAATTTATGTGTATGAGTGTTTTGTCTACATGTATGTAAGTGCATGCATGTCATGCAGTACCCAGGAAGCTCAGAAGAAAGTGTCGAATTCCCCCGGAACTGGAGTTACAGACAGTTGTCACCTGCCATGTGGGTGCTGAGAATTGAACCCAGGTCTTCTTGAAGAGCAGTCAGTGAGTGCTCTCAACCACTGAGCCATCTCTCCAGCCCCCTGATATTACTGATATTTTTATGTATATAGAAGTAAAAACATAATTGTGAGGATTGCAAGTAATTCTGCTAATGTCTTTACTTACTTAGGTTACACCTCTGTTAAATGGAAAAAAAAACAAAACCCTGTTTCAGTGTTTGCCTGAGGTAGTTGTCTCGAGACCTGAAGAGACAGCATGCTGTATAAAATCAGATGAAATCAGATGCTTAGCTTACAAGACTAGGTATAAAGACTATAAATCTAATACAGGAAGTTAACTGCTCTAAGTAATAAAATAAAGATTCTAGCGTACATGTCAAAGCATGATTATGTAAGTAAAACTCTACAGTCCGTTCAAAGAGCGTGTTTTGAGTGCACAGTGGATGTTAGACACACGCTGGCTGTCAACGTGAAAGCAGACAAACTCTGGGAAGTTGTGACAGTTGTTGATAGTCCTATGAGTGATTTGAACTTAGGCTATTCTCTGGTTTTTCTCTGGCCTGTGCTTTCGTTTGCTTCCTATTAAAAGTTTATTAATTCTTACATATTAACTTTCTGTCGTCTCACAGCTGTAAACTCAGGAAAGTGCCAAGCTCCACTCCTGTTCCCAAACTAGGTTGCATGAGCCCAAATAACTAATTATGGCACCTGTGGAAAGTGCAGGCTCCTCTTCATTAAGCTCTACAAATGTTCTCCTTCCACAAATCTTTGTCAATATGCTCTTCAATAGTAGGTCAGGGGCCTGGAGAGATGGCTCAGCAGTTAAGAACACTGGCTATTCTTGTAGAAGACCCGGGTTCAAATCCCGGAACCCACATGGCAGCTAACAACTGTCTGTAACTCCAGTTCCAGGGGATCCATTGCCTTCTTCTGTCTTCCACAGGCATTGCATGATACAGTTGTACTTACATACATGCAGGCAGTACACACATAGCACATAAAAGTAATATTTTTTTAAAATAGTCGGTCAGAGATTAGAGATTTCAGTATGAAAAAATTTTGATTAACCTCATATACTCATTCAACAATGTTTATTGGGTATATGAGTCACATTTCTGTTGCTGTGCTAAAACACCATGACCAAGGGAACTTATAAAAGGAAGAGTTTATTTAGCTTAGAGTTCCAAAGGGGCAAAACCCGTCATGGTGGGGAGGCGTGGTGGCAGAGGTGGCTGGAGCAGGAGCAGAAGCTAAGCTCTCTGACTTCAAGCAGACACAGGAAGGGGAGTGTGACTGAAGTCAAGCAAAGCTTAAGAACTCTCTAAACCTCCTCCTGCTGGCATGCTTCCTCCAGCAAGGCTACAGCTTCTAAGACTCCAAAACAGTACCACCACCTGGGGACAAAATGCTCAAATACTTGGAGCCTAAGGGGCAGCTTCTCCTTCAAACCACACATTGAGTGACTGTTGTGTCATGCCCTGGAGATACTGTCGTCAGCAACACAGACGTCACAAGACGTCACGGACAAGAACAGCAAACAGACAGGACAGGCAGTGAGGATAGCTGAAAGGCCAGTCCTGGAGTTCAGGGCTTCAAGAGACCAGCCAGCATTTGTAAGACCAGATTCTGGAGGCCCTAGAAGCAGCCAGTTAGTGGAAACAGAGTCCTTGGTGTGCTTAAGGACCTAGAAGACAGTGCTTTACCGAGGGAGGACACGGTGCTGGAGGCAAGAATTCCTTCACAATTGAGTCACTGGATTTGTGATTCAGATGGAGAGCAAACTGGGGTGTTTGAGAATTTGAGTTCTGCAAATAAAAATTATAAGCTAAAGCTGTCTGAATAAAAACACTACTTTATAAAGTACAATTTACATGTAAAATTTCTTATGCAGATCACTTTACACTAATGATTAGGTAAGTTTTTCATAGTTGGTTTAACCTCATAAAGGCCATCTGTCCAAGTTAGTTTAATATGCCACAGTGCCTGACTGAAACAATTCTGCTTGAAAGACCCTGTGGTCTTCTGAAGGTGTTTTTAGGGCTGTTAATGCTCTAGCTGGAGCCAGGAGCATTTTGTGCTAGAAATTAATGGGTCATCCAAAATATTGAGAGATTTTATGCAAAAGTTGCACATTTTAAAATCATTGTTTTGGGGGCTAGACAGATGGCTCAGCAGTCTAGAGCACTGGTTGCTCTTGCAGAGGACCCAGGTTCAATTCCCAGCACCCACATAGCAGCTATGAACCATCTTAACTCCAGCTCCAGGGGAATCTGAAGCCCTCTTCTGACCTCTACGGCATCGCATGACATGGCTGCACTCACTTACATGCAGGCAGTACACTGAGACACAGAAAATAAAAATAATAAATAAAAATATTAAAAAATAAAATCATTGTTTTGCTGTATCCCAACCACACACCCTTTTACTAGCAGGGTCAGTTTAATGAGACTGCTGTAGAGGGCATTTGCTCCGCAGGAGAATAACGTCATGTCATCCATGGCAACGGCTGCCCTGGCCCTGCCTGCTTATTCCAGGAAACACGCTTAGTTTTGTTTTTATCACAGAGTTAAAGATCCACATTGGTTTTAAATAGTTACACGTTTTACAATTGTGTTGAATAACTCACATATGTACAAGTTACCCTGACATAACAAATAATGTTATTATAGAAAAATTTAAATATTTCCTGACAAAAGTCCTATTTTAATGTTGACCATCTTTTATATATTCCTAACCAGTAAATACTTTAAAAAATTTATCATTTTTATGTTTTTATGTGTATGAGTTATTGTCTGCATGTGTATAAGTGTACCCATGTCATGCAATGCCTGTGGAGGTCAGAAGAAGGTGTCGGAGCCCCTGGAACTGGAGTAATAGCCTGTTGTTAGCTGCCATGGGTGCTGGGAATTGAACCTGGGTCCTGTGCAAAAGCAGTCAGTGATCTTAACCTCTGAGCCAGCTCTCCCGCCCCAGTAAATACTTATTAGCAAGAATATTTTGCCATTTATGCAGCGTTCTCAGAGCATTTCTCTCAAT